GTTGGAGAAGACTCTAGAGAGTCCCTTGGACTGCAAGGAGATCCAACCAGTCCATCCTAAAGGAAATCAGTTCTGAATATTCATTGGAAGGACTGATGCTGAAGCTGAAGCTCCAATACTTTGGCCACCTGATGCAAAGAGCTGACTCATTGGAAAAGACCCTGATGCTGGGAAAGATTGAAGGCAGGAGAAGGGGAAACAGAGGATCAGATGGTTGGATGGCATCACCGACTCAATGGACATGAGTTTGAGTAAGCTCTGGAAGATGGTGAAGGACTGGAGAGCCTGGCATGTTGCAGTCCGCGGGGTCACAAAGGGTCGGACACAACTGAGCGATTGAACAACAGCAACAACAACGACCCACTCCAGTACTCTTGCCTAGAGAATCCCAAGGACAGAGGAGCCTGGTGGGCTACAGTCCATGGGGTCACAAAGAGTCAGACACAACTAAGTAACTAACCCTTCTGTCTTATTATATGTTCTAATAAGTAGCCATATTAAAGAATGTAAAAAGAAACTGGTGAAATTAATTTTAATAAATTATTTTATTTAACCTCAGATGCCTGAATATTATCAACATGTGATCAATAGAGAAATTATTAATGAGATATTTTGCATTTTTCCATGTCAAAGTTTTCTATTTTGGCCATGTCACACAGCATGTGGAATCTTAGTTCCCTGACCAGGGATCAAACCTATGCCCTCTGCACTGGATCCATGGAGTCTTCACCACTGAACCTCCAGGGAGGTCCCTGTGCTAAGGTTTTGAAGTCTAATGTGTACTTTATAGTCACAGCACACCTCAGTTTGTATTAGCCATATTTCAGTGAAATATTCAGCAGCCACCTGTGGCTGGAGACTGCCAAATAGCACAGGTCAAGACAGACAAAAATGGCCCCATGGACTGCTGAATCCCATAGCTGAGAACTGGAGCCATAAAAAGTGTCTTGTATGCTCAAGAGTATCATAGACAAAGACCAAGCCGGCTGACCTAAGGAGATCTTGTTTTGTAATCAGTTTCTGGCAGGAAAAAGCTCTTTTGAAGGAAACCTTCTCTGCAGGAGGTCCCTTTTGTATTTCCACTAACCTTAAACCAGCCCCCCTCCCCCATAATGCTCTATTCATCTCCGGCCCTAGCACACCTTTCAAATCTTTTGATCACACAATACCTTGTCTAACCTGTTGGTTCTTTCTGTACATCAAAGAAATAGAAATGAAGAATAAATAATTAACAGATTACCAGATCTCTTCCCTGGATTCCTCTTCAGTAATTTCAAGAACAAACTGTGGGAATAAGATAGCATCTAAAGAAAACTCACAAGAAGTCGACAAGCTGCTCATAAGCCGACACACAGTGGGGTAATGGTGATGCCTCTGATCCACTGTCTCAATGATTAACTAAGATTTCTTCCTTTCTACCCTTTAAAAACTTTCATGGCTGCAGAATCTTCAGAGATAGTTTTGAGGGGACACTGAATCTGCCATCTCCCCAGAATGCTGGCATTCTGATTAAAAACATCTTTCTTTTCTACCAACATTGGCCTCTTGAGTATTGATTTTTGAGTGGGGAGCAGTTGGACTTGATTTGGTAAGATTCAGGCTGAGTGGAATATGATCTAGCACTGCTCTGCTTGGGCTGAGTGGACAGAAGGCCGTGCGAACGCTTCAGTGGATGCCATGAGAGATGGCAGTCAGGCGCCCAAGACCCACCACTCTACACATGTCCACATTCTATAAACCCCCAGCGACTTGGATGCCACCCTGGGGAAAGATGAAATCCCAACCTAGATCATGATTAAGATTCATTTCGTAGAAGAGGGCAGAACTCAAAATTCTGTATTGGTAAAGAAAGTTACACTTATTTAGTGAACTGAGTTTCAAAATCATTATAAAAAGAGTGATGAACATGCTAGAAATGAGGTTTTTGTAAGCCCTCTCTGCTGTTTTCTCATAGGCTGTCAGAAGATGATTTAAAGGAGGATGGTGACTTTTCAACAAGTCAATCTCAAAGGAAAAAGGGGGAAGTATAGCTTTCTTCTTTGGCCACCTGATGTGAAGAGCTGACTCAATAGAAAAGACCCTGATGCTGGTAAAGATTGAAGGTGGGAGGAGACAGGGATGACGACAGAGGATGAGATGGTTGGATGGCATTACCGACTCAAAGGACATGAGTTTGAACAAACTCTGGGAGATGGTGAAGGACAGGGAAGCCTGGCATGCTGCAGTTCATGGAGTCACAATAAGTCGGACACGACTGAGAGACTGAACAACAACAATAGCACTCTTCTACTCAGAAGGTACTTGAGTGACATGACAACCAAATATAGTATATTGAAACATTGTATTAATTGGGTCTGGATTAGAACAAATAAACCATAACAGGAGATTTTGAGAAAATTAGTGAAATTTGTATCTTGATTAGGTTATTAGAGGAGTGCTAATTTGGAGGATATTGTGGGAAAATGCCCTTACCTCTTAGATATGAATATTAAAAAATTAGAGATAAAATGTCAGGTTACTTGTAGACCAATATTCATAGCAGCCTTATTCCTAGTAGTTAAAAAATGGGAACAACCTAAAAGTCTGTCAATTATGATGAATGTATAAATAAAATACAGAATATCTACACAATGGGATATTATTCAAAGTATTGACTCATGCCACAACATGGATGAACTTTGAAAATATGCTAAATGAAGGAAGCCAATCACAAAAGGCTACATATTGTATGATTCCTCTTATGTAAAACATCTAGAATAGACAAATGTATTAAAAAAGACAGAAAGTGGATTAGTGGTTGCCTAGGGCTGGGGATATAGAAGGAAGTGGGGTTAACAGCTTAAGGATTCAAGATTTTCTTTTGGGATGATAAAAATGTTTTAAAATTGATTGTGGTAATGGGTTACACATATCTGTGAATATACTAAAAACATTGAATTGTGCACTCTAAATGGGTGAATTGTATGGCATATGACTTCAGTTCAGTTCAGTTCATTTGCTCAGTTGTGTCCAGTTCTTTGCGACCGCATGGACTGCAGCACGCCAGGCCTCCCTGTCCATCACCAACTCCCAGAGTTTACCCAAACTCAAGTCCATTGAGTCGGTGATGCCATTCAACCATAAAGCTGTATTTACAAAGGAGGGAAAAAAGGGGAAAACAAAGTCATGCTCTACAATTTTGCTTAAAACAACTAAGAGAAAAAAGGAGCAAATATGGGAGACTTAACATTGTTAAACCTGGGTGCTGGATACATGAGGGTTTGTTCCACTATTCCCTTTACCTTTGTGTATATTTGAAATTAAAAAAAAAAAAACAAAAAAACACAAAACTGGAGGATGGTAGTTCTCTCTGAACATCCATGCCTTTAAACATCCATTTGAGAAGACATTCCCTTGCCTTCATAACTGCAAAATATAATGCAGGAAGAGAGCATCACCCCTCTCTGGGGACTGTATGAGGCGCAGGAGTGATATTATCTCCTTTCCTTTGCTATTGAGAAGCTCTCTGGGGAGCAAATATTTAGGTGATCATCAGAGAACTGGGCTACGGGGGCCACTGATGGAAATGACCCCTCACACTTCCAGGCTACCACATAGCCACATGCAGGACCAGATCATGGAAAAGAAATGCAAAGAAGGGAAATGGGTGGAGGAAGGAGAATTATAGTTGTGTCTAACTGTAAGAAAATTTCACTTACAAATACAAAATCCAAGAAAGCATATTATGAGACGATTATTTGCTCTAAAGAAATATTTCTAACGCTTTATGAAAACATAAAATTAAGTCTTTTTTTTCATGGCACAATATTGCAAATCAACTTGTGTGCATGCTCAGTTGTATCTGACTCTTTGTGACCCCATGTATAAGCCTGCCAGACTCTTCTGTCCATGGGATTGCCCAGGCAAGAATACTGGAGTGCACTGCCATGCCGTCCTACAGGGGAATCTTTCTGGCCCAGGGATCGAACCCATGTCTCTTGCCTCTCCTGCACTGGCAGGTGGGTTCTTTACCACTACCACCACCTGGCAAGCCTCGGAAATCAACTATACTTCAATAAAATAAAATAGAATAAAATAATTTTTTCAATAGGTAAATATATGCAAATACATGGGAAAACCCAAAAGTTGTATTGCACTATGTTCATTGTCCCACTTTTTGAATAATTAACTCATTTAATCCTTATTATAATCCCCATTTTACAGTTGAGACCCTTTAAGGTTGAAAATCCATACAGCTACTAAAGGACAGGCCAAAGTTTCCAGGGTCACGCTCTTAAATGCTACACTTGACTGCCCCCCTCATAAAACAACAAAAGGCTGGTCCCTTCCCCAGAGGACACCACGGTTACCAGCTTCCTGGGGATCCTTCCAGAAGATAGGTAATTCTTTCGGAGGCTCATTCAAGCCCATTTTTCAATCAGCAGTTTGGAGGACGTATTCAGAGGCTCTGCTCCATCCACATGACTAGTTCTGACCCATTAACTGTGAAGTCCCTGAGGCCCCTGCAGAGAGGCACCGCCTGTTACATTGCCACCTGTAAGCCACAGACCCACAAACAAGCGGCTTCTGATTTACGGGGCTTCTCCCTGCTGGTCCACAGGGCCGTTAATCTTCTGCCTCGGGGCAGAATTTGACAGCTCCCAAAGGTCCCCATGAAGTACTCTTTTCAAAGTGAAATTCTCAATCAAATAAACTTGAAACAGACTTGGTCTGGATCCAGGCACAGCCCCCCCCACCCCATGCCTCCGGGCAGACGTTGGCTACACTTCACTTCCTGGGTTTTTTGAGTCCTCTGGTGCAGGCTACTTTTTTCCTTCAATAAAACAGTGATTTAAAGCCTGCATTCTTCCTGTTCTAAAACTGTGCCGGGGCATAACCACTCTGTCTTCACCAAAGAGTACACAAAAATCAACCAGGGCTCTGCACCCACCCTGGCTGTGGATTATCAGGTAAGCACTTTATCAGATTCTTGATCTGCTTTTCGAAAAATATTCTCTTACCTGATAAAAACTTTTTTCAGTCCTCTTTTGTTTCTTCGCTTGACATTTTATTTTGATTCTTTTTATGTTTTCCCTTGGATATTCAAATTATTCCTTTTCTTAAATGAATGCCCCCAGCTTCTCTCCACCTCTGCCAGGGACCTCAGTGCTTTTCTGGTGGTGATAACAAAAAGGAAAGTTTTCTTTTCCCTCTGAAACTCTAACAACAACAAAAACAACCACAAAGGATGATATTTTGTGTGGCAGTGGCATGAAAATGTTTTTGTGAGAGGAGAAGGTGTCAAGTACATTTCTAACATCTCTACAGTTCATATTAACAATGATCAGAAGTCTCCTGTGGGGCACCTCATCCTTTTGTGCTCATTTTATCTCTGAGCATATTGATGTGGGATTCATTAATGCAGTTTTGGTCTTTCTTTCCTCCTGGTACAAGTCAGGGGCTGTGCTTCCCTGCCCCTTTCAAAGTAAGGTGAGACTGTGAGACTTGCTTTGGCTAGCGGAATGTGAGAGGTAACACAAATCATTTCCCAGTCAAGTATGAAGTGAAATGAAGGTCGCTCAGTTGCAAAGTGTCTGACTCTTTGTGACCTCATGGACTATACAGTCCATGGAATTCTCCAAGTCAGAATACTGGAGTGGGTAGCCTTTTCCTTCTCCAGGGGATCTTCCCAACCCAGGGATCGAACCCAGGTCTCCCACATTGCAGGCAGATTCTTTACCAGCTGAGCTACAAGGGAAGCCCAAGAATACTGGAGTGGGTAGCCTATCCCTTCTCCAGCAGATCTTCCTGACCCAGGAATCAAACCAGGGTCTCTTGCATTGCAGATCCTTTACCAACTGAGCTATGAGGGAAGCCCCATCATTTCCCAGGGAAAACTTTAAAAGCCCATGTGTATGTCTCAGATTCCCATCCTGCTGCTGCAGTGGTTATAGAAATTAGTGTTAAATAGAATCTCCACTGCTTCCCAGGTGGCGCTAGTGGCAAAGAACCTGCCTGCCAATGCAGGAGACATGGGTTCCATGCCTGGGTCAGGAAGATCCCCTGGAGGAGGGCAGGGTAACCCACTCCAGTATTCTTGCCTGGAGAATCCCTTGGACAGAGAAGCCTGGCAGACAGCAGTCCATAGTAATGCAAAGAGTTGGATATGACTGAAGCAATTCAGCACAGCACAGAGTCTCCAGGGCTTGAGTCCTTGAGTGAAAATCATTAAAAGACCCCCTCATTGCAATGATTAGAGAAGAATCAACTTTCCTTACGGTAAGCCACTAAGGTTTGGGAGCGATTATCTGGTATAATCTAGCTCCTCTAGACATTTAATTTGAAACAACTATAAATAAGTAATAATGAGCCCTATGGACTTTTGCCTCAACCTGTGAGGACAAAAATTAAGTCTGTTTCTCCGTCCAATTGAGCAATCTCATATAAACTAACAATTTGATTGATGCATTTAGCAAATATTAATTAAGGACCTAGTCTGTTCAAAGTACTATTAACAAGAATAACAAAAACTTTATTTGATCATCAGTATTATTGATTTAAAAGACACTAAAATTTCAGATAATTCAAAACAACTTCGTATCTAGAAGTCAGTGTTTAGTGATTTTTATTACAATTTCCCATTGCTGCTGAGCATTTTCCAGCTATAAAATTGTTAAAGGGTAGATTTCCCTCCAAAAGGTAAAATCATGACTCTCATGCAGATATAAAATAAACATATGTTAAAGATTTTACTTAACTCATTATTCAATGAAAAAACTGGAAATACATTATAACTTGTTAAAAGGAGAAACGAAAAGAACCACCATTTCATATGGAATAAAGGAATGTTGAAGTTAATTTACAAAAAGGACACAAAATAGGAATTTTTCACTAGGATGTGGTGGGGGCAGGATGGTTCAGTGATGTGGGGAAAGTCAGTTTAAACCACCACACCACAATTCCACCAAGGAATTTATTTGTATGACACTATAAAATTATTTTATATTCCTATCAAATATCTACAAATTCAGAGTTATGAAATAGCTCAAAGTAAGCAAAAGGTTAGAAATGATAAAGCAAAGGGTGTGTTCTAGACGATTCAGTTTCCATTAGAAATATTCATTAAGCTCTTTTCCTTATTCTAAATTTCCTTACAGATTGGATTCCCAAAATAAAAAAAAGATTAAAATAAGTATAATTAAAATGCCATTTACTCAGTGCTAGGCAATGTGCTAAGTTTTGCACACATCATCATTAGATGGATATTATCATTACTATTTTATAGATTGAATAACTGGGACTTAACTTGCCCAATAGTTCAATTTTTTATTTGTTTGTTTTGGTCTCACCCAGTGGCTTGAGGGATCTGAATTCCTGTATGAGGTCCTCGGCAGAGAGAGCACAGAGTGTTAACCACTGGACCACCAAGGAACTCCCTATTGCAAAATTCAAATGAAAGTCTGATTCCAAAGCTTTCAACAGGTTTTTTTTTTAATATTTAAGATAATGACAAATTTTTAAAATAATTAATATACAGTAAAATTGACATTTTCATGGTATACAGTTCTAAGAGTTTTAACACATGTATAGATTCTCCTAACCACAATAACAATCAGGATACAGAACTGTCCCTCTCTTCTCCCCCCAAATCTTCTTGAGCGATTCCTTTGTAGTCACATCCTTCTGCCCCTGGCAACCAATGATTTGTTGTCTGTTGCTATGCTTTTGTCTTTTCAAGAATGTCAAATAAATAGAATCACACAGTTTGTAACCTTTAAAAGATTGGGGGAGGGTTGTAGTTAATTACAGATTCACAGAAAGTTGCAAAAATAGGACAGAGAAGTCCTAGTACACTTCAGCCAGTTACCCCAAAGGCTGACATCTTACATAACTACAGTGCAATATCAAAACCAGGAGACTGACCTTGATATATTCCATAGCCCTCATTCCGTGTCCATCAATTTAACATTCACTCATTGGTGAGTACCTGTACAGTTCTATACAATTTTATCTGTGTGTAGTTTTGTGTAAAGTGAAAGTGAAAGTTGTTCAGTTGTGTCCAACTCTTTGTGACCCCATGGACCATACAGTCCATGGAATTCTCTAGGCCAGAATACTGGAGTGGGTAGCCTATCCCTTCTCCAGCAAATCTTCCCAACCCAGGAATCGAACTGTGGTCTCCTTCATTGAAGGCGGATTCTTTACCAACTGAGCTATCAGGGAAGCCCAGTTTTGTGTAACCATCATCACAATCAAGATATGGAATTATTCCATCACTACAAAAATCCTTGTGCCATCCCCTTATAGTCATATCTTATGGGGTTAGATTTTAGAAGCCTTTCTTTATGTGTTCTCCATCCTTAAAAAAAAAGAAAACACTTTAAGGTAAACAATTCGGTCCTTCTTTTATACTGTAATATTTGTTTTTTACTGACATTATCTTTAGAAAATTCAAAAAATTTTATCTTTTTTCATAATAATTATTGAAAAAATTTTTTGTCACATAGAGAGATTTAAAGACTGTTCCATCCCAGGTGTCATTTGTACTATGAAGGTCACCATTTGGAAATCTTGGATTCACCCAGGCATCAATGTGAACACAGTAGCCCATCACTTGAAATGAGTTCAAACTCTTTTACAGCTGTTGAGCCAAAGGTAGAACCTTAATCATTTTCCTCTTCAGTACTTTCTTAGAAAACAAATTTCATAAGAAAAAGTATGACATGTTAAACTACTAAAAATGTCATGCTTTGGTAGTACATAAAGTGAACTGTGGAAATGGAATAAATCAAACTCATTTCAAAGTTAAATAAAACTTTTTTAGGGGAAAGTAATTTTCAAATCTATGACATCTTATTACTTCCTCTGGGCTCTGTTTTCCCAACTAACGAGATTTACTGTTTTAGGGTAAGAATATATGCAGATAATCCCATCTCCATTTTTTTTTTCTATTGGTTATAAATTAAAACAAACTTTATTTTTAAAGAAGATTGCTGCTTTTGAATTACCAGAATACTATTTAACTATATTGATTTGTGGAAGACTCTGCTTCCTTACAGACCCCATCCATATTCTTTCTTGTATGTTGTTTCTGCCATGGATTAATATTTATTATAAACAAAAGGATGGCTCCCATCCCTTACTCAAGTTCTTCCTCATACACTCTCTGGTGGGCTTAGCCTTCAGCTGTGATGGGGTTTTTCTCCTAGAGCCTGGACAGAGACATTCCATTCAGTACCGATGACATATGTTATCTGCAGAGCCTGATCCTGGAATAATAAGGAAACTAAATACTAATGGAAGCGGACAGGTAGAGGATTGTTTACTATTGACTCTTAAATGTAGTCTCTTTTCTATATAATTGGAATTAAAACCCGAGGTGTGGGTGATTTTCAGAGATGTCAGTTAATCGTTCCTATGGGGTCACAAAGAGTCAGACATGACTTAGCGGCTGAGCACAGGCACACACGATTAGATAAGGGCTTCCCTCCTGGCTCAGTGATAAAGAGTCTGCCTTCCAGCGCAAGAGACGCAGGAGAGTCCGTTTCCATCCCTGGGTTGAGAAGGTCCCCTGAAGTAGGGAATGGCAACCCACTCCACTATTCTTGTCTGGAAAATTCCATGGACAGTGGAGCCTGGTGTGCTACAGTCCATGGTGTCACAAGAGTCAAACGCAAATGAGCATGCACTCATGAGCATGGTTACTCTATGACTGGATAAATATATCGTCTGTTGTCCCTGGTGAATGGCTTTGCCATGAGGTCTGCAAACATGACTAATAATGAGAAAAGTAGGACACAGAGGTACCTCTTTCATATAAGAGAACTAGTTTCCATTTGCCCCTCCAGACTGACTCTCTATTCTTCTCCTCACCTAGGGTGCCAGATTCAGCCAACAAAAATACAGCATGAAGAGTGAGGTCAGGTGTTTTCCCTTTCTGGTTGCAGAAGCTTGGCTGTGTCACTCTGCCAAGGCATGGCTCCCACAGGTGCCCTGGCTTACAGCTAGAGTTGCTCTCTGGGTCCAGTGACTGTTCTCTTTTCTGATCTCGGGGCTTAAAGGTGCATCGCTCTCTGCGTTGCAAGCCCTTAATACTCAACACGCCTTTTTGGTTTCCCTTAACCCTCACACCACTGAAATGGTCCCTTCATTCAATTCACCTCAGTTCCCCCACTTGAAAGTGCCATCTGTTTCCTGTCAGGACTCTGACTGATACAAAGTAGTTCTGATTAGAGGAGAACACATCTCATGCTTTGTAAAAAGATAAATTGCAAATTGAACCATAGATTTATATAACATAGCTTTATGTCTGTGTGTCTGTGGGCTTGCATAGCTTCAAGGATGCTTTAGCTTAATTATGGTGCATCTTTAGATGAAGTTGAATCCTAATATCTAAGATTCTGGAGGCATTGGAGATGGTTCTATTCATCCACTGTTAGAACTCAACAGTGAAGATTTCTATGTATATAAAATGGTCCTTTTGATTTCTCCCTTACATATCAAATGTCAAATATGATTATTTGAGGTTTAAGCAATTCTAGTCAC